GAGGCATCCAATCTATGTTTCTCTCTCTAAAAACAATGAAAAAACCATCCTTCAGTGAGGATAAAAAAAGTGATCAGATTCTAGATCTATTTTGAAAGTAGAAAGTAATGCTTTCCTAGAAGATTGGATATGGGATGAAGGAGCTACTGGATTGTCAAGGATGACAGCTGATACACAAAGGATGAAGGTGCCATCAATCATTTTGAGGCCTAACTCCCCAACTGACACTAAGATACATATGTTACAAGTGTCCTGATTTATTTACTATCATAGAATTTTAAACTCTCTTTGATCCATCCCTCTCTTTCTCCTCCCATAGAAATAAATTACTCGGGGAAGTCCAATCTGTTGCAGATAGATAAAGTCCCTTCTCAGATACGACTGCAATGATAGCCAGCCTACCCCCACGAGGCAACCCCAGACTACTTAATGTGTTTGATGGCTAGTCAAGCAACAAGGGACAATTTCCATTGGTCATTCAGTAGCTATATGACTTTAAACACACCATTTCTTCTCACTCTGCCTCACATCTTTGTCTTAAAGTAAGAATAATATTACCCATAGGGTTGTTCTGATAACTAATAAGTGAATAGATATCGAGCAGTATCTGGCACAGAGTAAGCAATATAAAACGGTTATAATTAACACTATCATTAACTGTTTTTGTTATTTCTCAATCTAAGAATCATTTCATGAAAAATAATACTGAGGGAGCTACTCAGTCTAATATAAATTTCAAAAACATGAATAACCTAACACTAATATACACAGAGTACAAAGACAGAGCAAGTTGCAGGTAGATCTCATGGGAGCCTAACTGCCCTAACTCAGTCACTGAAATCCTATGGGACAAAAAGTACCCACTGTGTGTTTGAACAGAAAAACACAGGTACGTAGCTCATTTCTCTATGATTTAAAGAAACTCACCTATCACTGACACCTCATAACCATCTCCAAACCCTTCCATTCTAGTTGTCTGGAACATCTTTCTGTATGTAAAAAAGATGGCATTTGTGCATTTCAGTTTTTGTTATATACTGTACTTTTGTTATATACTACCTTAGAATCAGGAACTGAGATGTAACTTATATGAGGTCTGTCCAGAAGGTATCCAGTCATATAATATAAAAATTAAAGACATTTATTGAAGAAGATACAAGAAACTTTGTACATAGGACTATGACGCCTCAGTCTCCTTCAAAGTAAGCACCTTGGGACCTCACAATTCTCCCATTCATCATCAGCTACCCCTCTGTATTGTCCTGAATGTCATCAACTGTCAGAAATCTCTTCCCTTTCAAAGGTGATTTTAGTTTTGGAAAAAGCCAGAAGTCCCAGGGCACCACCAAATCAGGGCTGTAGAGGGGCTGGGTCACCTGGCTGATACGACGTTTCAGAAAAAAAATCTGTACAAGATGTGATGCATGAGCGGGCACATTGTCCCAATGAAGCTGCCAACCACCAGCTGCCTATAGCTATGGCCTTCTGAATCATCTGAATAGTTTCCTTGGAGGAATTTTCTAAATGAATGCAAAAGTTGATGCAGACTCATTGCTCTGCTCACTCAGTCATTTTGAATGCAACAACCACAGCACACACAAGCTCAATCAACTGTGTCTACCACCCCTACTGACTAGTTCAGTGAAGTTGTTATTGTTCATGCATGTATATCCCAGTCCACTCTTCTTGGGAGTCAGGATACACAGATGTTGGGCCAACCTTTCTCATTGTACTGACAATGGCTGGAACTTTTTCCTGATAGACCTTGTATAACTTTATTAACCAATGATACCCCAATAAAATTTAATTTAAAAAAGAATTGAGATGTAATTTTAAAATGTTTACTAATCCTCTAACAATACAGTAAGTCATGTTTATGTACATACATATATACCATATCTTGCCATGTAAAACACGCAGTATTTTGTCACAATTTTTGAGGAGAAATAAAGGTGCACATTATACATGGGTAGTACTAATTCCGTACCTATATAAATGTTTTTAATTCTTTTATTTTTGCTTATGTGTTAAAAGTATAACTCTAGAGAACAATAACCACACCCATATGCAAATAATGCCCTCTGTAATACAATAATCAGTTTTGCTCCTTAAAATAAATAAATTGTAAAATTAAAACAAGACTTTTTTTCTGAACATCCAGGCCAAAATGTGGGTGCACGTTATACACAACATAATACAGTATGCATCTTATTTAACATAAATCTGTTCTGTCCAACTTTTGACACTGAATGAATTTCTATGGAAAATATCCCTCTCTCAACAACAGGAGCAATTCTCAATGCTAGCTGCATCTTAGAATTACTGGAGAGCTTTAAACAAAATGCAAAGGCCCAATCCTACATTTCTGGACTTGAGAACTGCTGGATAGGTACACCCAAAAGTATTATTTACTAAACTTGGGAAAGAAAGAGAACTGTTTAAATGTTTCTGGGTTTAAACTAGCATCACTGTATTAACTGGGTTCTGGGGTGAGGGCACTACAGCCTACATTAGAAATCCTCTTACCCTGACTTAGCCTCTTAAACTATCCAGAACCTACAAAACGAGTTGGTGGCCTTCCAAATGTTTTCTCAAAAGTAAGTGATGACCAAATTTAGATTCCCTCAAATGAAAGAACACACAATACTATTCTATTTTTCTCTGGCAAAATCCTCCTAAGTCTTATTGCCAAACAGCTGATTACAATTATTCCCCACAGACCCCCAGCCCCGCCCTGGCCCCATTTCCCCACTATAGTCAATACCAGTATGCAGCCTAGCTCTAAGAAATGTGAACTCTTCCCTCTGTTTGTATTCTTAAATCCAATATTTAAATCATAAAGCCTCTACCCCATATTAGTGCACAACATAAAGGAGGAATTATTGCCAAATATTTTTGACTACCAACACAGTATAGGACTAGGTAATGGCTTTCTATAATAAACTCATTCACTCATTCATGTCTTTAAAATAAAATATTCGTTAAGTCTCTACCACATGCTAAACACTTCTTTTAGATTCCTGTGACCAGAGCAGTGATGAAGACATACCTGGCCTTAATATCCTTCTAGATGCCTCTATGTGCCTAAATTTTGAAATAAAGTATGGATATAGTCCGAAACCTCTAAAGAGTAGGTTAAATTAATGCAAGTCTAAAAGCAACAACACTAGAAATGTCACTTGGAACCCTAACTTACTATGCACCTTCTATAGATGTTATATTAGTCTCTTTATATGTGGTACAATATTTATTCAACAAATTTGCTCTTCTAAAGACACAAAATTACTAAAAAGAAATTAAAGAATGCCAAACAATGAGAAAATTCTTACTCTTGATTGAGTTTAAACTCGGCTTTCCACACTAGAGAGCATTTGTGCCACTCTAAAGTTGACACGAATGAATTATGACAGAGTTGTGTCAATTCTCCCACACAAGAAATTTTTTCAGGTCAGTTCAAACACATCAACTTTGATATTTCTGGGTGAAAAAAAGAAAAATCAAGTTGTCATAAAAATGTATTTCACATTTCAAATTTCTTAAAGTTGGAAATTACGTAAACTACCCACCTGTAGATATTAAGCAACATAGCTTATTGACAAAATTATACTACTAAATTATTAATAAAGACATCAATAAAATAAACTTTACTAAGTGCAGTGATAGGTCGTTTAACTTCCTTTATAAACACTAGCCCAAACCAAATGTCACTCAGATCAATTAGGAATCCACAGGAGGTAATTCAGTCCCAAGCAAAAACGGGGTACAACCCCGTTCTTTTGATCCTCTAAAGAAAAATTTTGAAGCATTCAGGAGGAGCAACTTGACTCTAATGTCTCATATCACCCCCTCCAAATCCTTTGGTGGGAAGCCCCTGGTTTTGTTTTTAGTTTTTGAAGGAACCACTGGTGAGGGACAGCCAAGTGGGATCAACATGTAAGTTTCCGGGGAGTTGACACAGGCCACCCCTGTTCTCCAACTCTAGGTACAGACTAGTCCCAAAACGGGGATCCAGTCCTGTCTTACCCGAGACCGTGTCTACTCACTTCACTTTTAAAAAAACAAGCGAGTTCAGCCTGGTGGCCAACAGCTTGGCTGTGGCCCGGACGAGTCCTGAGACCAGGACCCTCCGTCGCCCGCGCCCAGAGCTGTCCCTTCACGTCTGGAGACCTGGGCTGACCAAGGCCGGCTCCGGTCACCTGGCCACCGGCCTCCCGCCCGCGGTACCCGAGCCCAAGTCCAGAGCCGGGCTGTGAGGGTCACAGCCGGGCCGCGCTCACCGTCGATGTTCTCCCTGTCACTGATGTGCTGCAGGTTGCAGCCCGTGTCCTCGCGGCTCAGGTCAGCGTCCGGCCGGTAGGACTCCAGCCGGGAGTGTGCATTCCTCCGGAGTTTAGGGCTGGAAGACACGCAGCACGAGGTAGTGTTCCCCATCGTCGGCGGCCCAGGGCCCGCGGCGCTCGCGGGGTTCCCGGGGCCGGACGTAGAGCGAGGCCCGCCCGCCGCCGGGGATGGACGGAAGCGCGGTCAACAGCGGTGGTGGGGCCTCGCCATGGGCGGCGGGCAGGGCAGCGACCAGCGGCTGCAGGCGGCTCCCTCGGTCACCGCACCTCCTGGGCCTGCCCGCGGCGGAGGAGCGCCCGAACCGCGGGACTGCACGGCCGCGCCAGCCTCACCCCGCCGCGGCCATGGTGGGCGCTGGGCAGGCCGCCTCTCCGAGCTCCCCGCTCCGCGCCCGCAACCGGCAGCGTCCTCCACAAGAGGTTCCGGTTCAGGCGTAGAGACGCGTGTCCGCTGTAGCTGCGGCGTAGGGACAAGGCGGCGTAGACAGTGTAAGGACCAGGCAGCTGGGGCGGCTGGCGTGCGGTGGGCGGGTACAGTCCTCGGCCTCTACGCTGGGAAGCCGGCGTGTATGGCGGGAGGAGTCTAGGCGCCTGTCCCGCCCCCGGCACCGCCCCTTCCCGGCGCCCTGGAAGCAGATCCGGGCCGGGAAGGAGGTTGGACTGCGGCAAGTTAGAAGCTGGTTGCGTCCAGATGCCCGACTTCTCTAGTCTCAGTCCTCAGGTCCACCGCCCTGCCCTCCCCACCAGGGATGATGGTGTGTGTGGAGGCCTTGGGTGCCCGAAGCCGCACTGGCTACTCCTGGGAACAGGGCCGCGGCCGTTCTTCGTTTTTCTTTCTTTAAAGCTTTTAAGAGGAAGCGGCCCTTGATGTGGGAGTTCTCTCGTCTGCATCGAGCTTTGCGGAGGACTTTGATGGTGGTCCCTGGGCTATTTCAGCGTGCAGTCAGCTGTAGCATTTTAAGTCCCACGGAGGTTTTGGGGAGGTAAAGGCAGGTATGTAGCACTAGCTATCCTGTTACCTTTAAAACGCTGCTATTCTGTTGTGCTGGGTTGTCTGAACCCAAACCACTAAAATGAAGTCAAGATTAGCTCTCCCGCTGGTGCAGAAGTGACCGGCCCACCTTCTTCCAAATACTCAGGGAAGGAGTTGTGAGGAGAGGCAGGAGGAAAAACGCGTTTCAAAGAATAACAATGGGCGCAGTGCTCTTAATTAATGTATAAGAAAACCGAGGCCCAGAAAGATGAAGTAACAGGTAGTAAACAAAACAAAAGATGGCATGGTCGTGTGTGTACATGTTGCCACAGATTTAACCCTAATTAGTTTAATTCTTGACATCCGACCTTTGTTTTTAAACATGCACTGCCCCCTCTTGCTCACGTTTATACATTTATTAGGTTACATTTTTTAAAAGCTTCTTAAGTCAACTATATTTTTGCCGATTCTGTGTCCTTGGAAGATAAATGGCAGCAAAGCGCTGATGCTGACAAGATGACCAAAGGAAGTTCTGAAGAATGCAGCCGGAAAGAGGTAGGGAGATAGTAACAAGGCAAATAAGGCTCTGTATTAAGGCAGTCTTAAAGCCTTGCCTCCCGGGAAACAGGGACTGGACCACAACTACAAATCAATGAGAGTGCACATCCAGATTTTCAGGGATACAATGCTGTTTTGTAGTTTCGGTGCCACAAGCACCCAATTACTAAACCATGTATGTATGGCATATTCACTTTAGGGACATTCAAAAATTTTTATTTAATCATAAAATTTACAATTAATGATATGGTTTGAAGGGCTTAAGAGGGGACAGACAGCAGGGCTGTCTCAAGCTTCCTCTTCCTCAGGGTTAAACTGGGCGGTATTGATTGGGAACAACACCTGGAAACATGAAGATGTGACTAAGGGCCAGAGTAGCCTCAAAACTCATGCCAAAAGGTGGGACAACCAACGGTCTACAGGGACTTTTCTGTTCCCCCACCACCTCTACCCACTCTTTGACATTCCCACTGTATTTTCCTTAGAAATGCACTTGTTGGGCTTATTCATTAGTATGACTTTTGGTCAGCAGGCCTGGGGAAGAAAGATAAGTGCTAAAGCATCACCAGTGATTTACATGAGTGCCAACCACCACACCCTTCCACACACAAAGACACACACTTCACATTTCTCCAGGCAGATATGCCTCCTATTTGACACTCAGTGACACTTTAAGAAAGGTGGCATGTATTGAACACCTGCTAGAAACCAGGCATTGTACTGAGTATTTTTTACATCTAAGTCTATGCTGTTATCTCACATTTTACAAATAAAATTTGTAAATTTTTACTTTAATTTGGATAAGTAAACCTATCTAAGGTAAGAAATGAACTAACTGGGGGTGTTGCTCCTTGGTTCTGACTATGGTCTATAAGGTCCCTTCTCAGTTGAATCCAGCCCAACCTCCTGTCCCCACCTGGGGGTGTCACTGAATGGAACGGGCAGGGGACAGATTGGAATAATGAGAGAAGAAATCAGAAGCTCGGATAGATAGACAGTAGTGTTGCCCTGGCCAGGTGGCTCAGTCAATTAGAGCATTGTCCTGTGCACCAAAAGTTGTGAGTTCGATTCCAGAACACATACCTGAGTTTCAGTTCAATCCCGGTCAGGGCTTGTATGAGACGCGGTCAGTTGATGTTTCTTTCACACATCGATATCTCTCTCTCAGATCAATAAAACATATCTTCAGGTGAGGATTTAAAAAAAAAACAACTTTAGTCCTGCTTCCCTCCTCTTTCCTTTTCTATTCCCTTGCTGAATTAAGCTGTGAGTGACCTGTTAGGACTAGCTCTAGACTTGGAGAAGAGAAGGGAGCCTTGTTATTTCTATGGGGCCCAACCCTTCTGACTAAACTAAGTAGCCAGTCAACAAGGAGAAGCATTATGCAGAAATTTAGCCATCTCTGGTGATACAGCCATCTCTGATTGTATCACTTAGGAATCTAAATGTGGGGACACTTCCTCAGTAGGGTGGATCTAGCCCAGTATTAGGGCTGCAGGGGAGGGCAAGGTGAGCACTGCAATTCAAGGCCCTGTCCTCAAAACGTTCAGCTTTCATATAAAACATCATCTGGATCTAATCAGAACCAGTCCTGCTCTTTGAGCAGAAAGAATCATTTCACAATTCTTTTCCTTCATCTTTCTTTGTTACTAGGGTATAGGAATTTGGTCATTAAACAGAGGTAAACATGGAACTTGTGTGAGCTCGTTAAGTCAGTGCCCTTCACATTTTTTTAAGCAGCTTTTTCTCTCAACAAAATTTTCAATGGAACCAAAATATATAAAACATAAATGATATTAATGTTAATTTAAATGAGTTATAAGATCTTTTAAAAAACAAATCAGTGAATATAGGCTACCTTAATTAAATTAAGTAGAGCATAAGTACACTCTCACTTTAGCTACACACATACCGATCCATGAAATAAGAATCTGTCATTTGCACAACACCCTGAAACACCTCCTAAAATACAGAAAATACTGAATCAAGTTAACCCAGGACCTGGACCATTAGTCAAAAGAAGGAAAAAGGCTTGTTTCAGGAAAAACAAAAAACAAAAAACTGCTCAGTGTATCTGCCCTTTCTTTGTTACTGGGTAGCCAGTTTTCTGTGCAGTTATTCAAATGTTTGTAAAGGAAGTTGTGAAATAACCAAAACTCTCTGTTGTACCATCAGTACTCTTGTCACCCAATGATCTCCCCTCAGATAAGGCCTCCATTTGGTACTCTCGATGGTAAGCAGTCCATAGTAACCAGCTATGGGGAAGTATTTACTTTGATAGCCACTTGATCTTGACCAATGTAGGTGATTTATTTGTTTAGAAAACATTTAAAAGTGTGCTGAGCCAGACATCTTGGGGATACAAAAATGGATACAATATAATTCTTAGAGAAACTCAAAGACCAATATTCAAATGAACAGGTTTGGAACATGTTCACTAATATGAGTGATTATAGTCATGTAGTGCTAAAATCTGAACAATACCAAGCCTGCTACCTGTAAATATATAACTTTATCACCTGTGAATATACCTATGAAAGATTTATCCCATAAAGAATTTTACTCAGATAATCTGTCACATTGAAAATTCCCCTAAGCAATTAAAGATGGCAGGTAGAATTCAACACCAAAGACAAATCTTTTGAACCAGTTTAACTGCCAGGAACATTGTGTTGAGAAAGATTCTGAGGTCATGTTCCAGCTGAACAGGGAAAAACACTGCCATGAGGGGAGGAGGAGTAGATAACACTTATACCACATATTTCCTGTCGATGAGTAAAACCTTGGTTTATAGAATAAATAATGAAGCAGGGGATAGCCATAGATTCGGGGCACCACTGATAATTCACCACCTGTCCCTAGGCTAAACAGCCTTAGGAAGTCTAAGCTCTTTTGCCAAACTATCTTCTTCATCCATCTTCACTCACAGGAATGGTAAGTGTGATCTCTCAGAACTGGGATATACTTATCATAAGGTAAATTCCAGCATCTCACAGGGTCAGGCGAAAGTCAGACGGGGAGGTTGCTACTTCCCTATCTGGTGTCAATTCTTCCTTCCATCTCCCTTAGTACAGGTCTTCCACTCTGTGAGGAAGAACAATATGCCTGCCTCAGAGATGACAGCTGGCCATATGGCTAAATTGGGCCAATGAGATAGGAACAGAATCTTCCAGGAAAGCACTCTGAAGAGACTTCCTCTTTTCTGCTCTTTGAAGTGTGGATGTGATGGCTGCATTTTCAGCATGCGCTTTTGAGTACCTGGTGATCTTGGAGGTGGAAGCTATGAACCAATGTCCCTGTACACTCTTCTTTTACCTGACAGAAATAAAAGATGTTGTCTAAGACACAATTTTGAATTCCCAAGTTATATGCAGCCACACCTACTCTGACCTGCCTGGGATTTGATAATATTCTTTGATAGAATTTTCTGTATTCATGTTAACAACTTTCACTGATTGACCCCCAGATAATAGGGACTTTGACCTAGAACTGTGGGGTGTCATACATACTTGGCTCCTATAGGAGAATCAGGTTTGGAATGAGAAGATACAGTCAGTAAGCAGGCTCTGGAGCCAAGGTAGGATTTTGGTGGCAAAGGGAAGTTCTTCCAAAAGACAGATAGTCCCCATGGAAATTATCAGTAAAACAATAAAATGCCTGATACACTATTTTAATATATCACTCCTTCATTATTCCCAGAACTGGAGACAAAGGTTCCTGAGAGCAAGAAACTAGTTGAATAGACCCTCGTATATATACTTAAGATCCACTTCATCTAGGAAATTGGTTTTTTTGTTCAAAAACACATTTTTTTTCTGGACCTCTCTTTATGACCCCACTGACTATTTGGAAAAGGGGTGGGAGGGTTACTTCTGCCCAACACACCCATCAAGTCTTTAGTCCAGGAGGCTTAGCATTAGTGATAACAGGATTTATTTTGTCTCTCGTGTTTCAGGCACTTTCACTTAGGTTTATCTTAGTTAACTGGCCTCAGTTCAAACCCTGTTCCCAACACAACAAAACAGAATTTTAAAAGTAAAACAAGGATTGTTCATGAGTTCTGTCAACTTACTTCCTCTACCTCACATTTTTAACCTCCAAGGAACTCAAAACACTAATTCAGCATTCAAAGAGTCCTGGAGTCCCCAAGAGCAGCTACGTAAATCCTACTGCAGGGGGCAGTCCTGTCACTGTCCACTTAAAATCTGTAAATAGCCTCTTACTGGTTTTAGAATGTCACTTTGCCTGGCATTTAAGCTGAATTTTCCTGCCCTGCCACCGTGAGATCCCACCCCCACCCCCTTGTATTTTTAGTCCAACTTCTTCAAGGCCCAATACAAGCACTGATTTTTCTCAGTTCTTCAGGCTGGAGATCATTAATTCACATACACTTTATCTAAAAACCACTTATCTCTTTATACTTTTGTTGTTTTTATGCACTAATTTGTTTTATTTTCCTTATTAAACTATAAGCTCCTAAAGGGCACCCATGCCTCCCTCATTCCTCTTCTACTCACCACAATGCCTGGCTTCTAAGAGGCACCCAAGGATTATTAGTTACTCACTAAGAGATGAGCAAATACCTGAACATGGTCTTTTTACCCCCTCAGTCTGCTGGTATTTTTCTTTCCCTCCTTCCCTTTTACTCAGAAAGAGAAGGACAGGGAGTGAACTGGCAGTTTGGGGGCCCTGGGGATGGGCAGGGAGAAGAGGATATGCTAGGTAATGATTGTAGAAAGCTAGAGTTTTCAGTGATAATTCCCTTGTATTATACGTTGAAATTTTGAGAAAATATTTTTCTCATTGTTCTTTGCATTGTGAAACTCTTGATACTCAGAGATCTATTATAATAGTGTTCATTACCTTTAATGTTTTCTTTAGAATTTAACCAGGAAAACAGCACTTTTGAAATGGAATTGTATTTCACAGAGTATAGTTCTGACTGTATTAGGAAGAAAACCATTCGAATGAAGTGCACTTTATTTAGGTGTCCATTTCAGAAGTCAGAAGTCAGATTCCACAGCTTAGGTTGCCATGCTCTATGTTTGTTTGTGTTTTAACCTGAAGGCACTCAAATCCTCCAGAAAAAAAAAGCTCATATTCCATGTGTGTGCATGTGTGTGTCTGTGCATGTGCATGTATGCACAGACACATACATACTAATAAACCACATTCAGCTAAAATATTTTGCCAATTTGTACAAATCAGTGGTTCTGAACCCCAGGGCAATGTGCCCACATCTGGAGACATTTTTTATTGCCACCACTGGAGAGGGGATCCTACTGCATTTAGTGGGTAGAAGCTAGAGATGCTGCTAAACATCCTACAGTGCACAGAGCCATGTCCACAACTAGAATCATACAGCCCAAAATGGCAGTAGTGCCAAAGTTGAGAAACCCTATCTAAATCTGCCAGTTATTCACTTCATATATTGTCATTCATTCTATCAGAAAGAAAATTACACTCTATCAAGGATTCATTATCTAGTTTAGCTCCCACTGGAAACTTTAAGAGGAAAAATGACACTTGTTTTCAAAAGAAAAAAATATTTCAAAACACTTTTTAAGATTAACTTCCTATAGAAAGGCTTTTTAATCATTCTGGCTACAGATTCTCCAAATCATTCTAGATATATATATATTCACAGAAATCCGCCCAATTGCAGATACTCAGGAGTATAATATTTTTTTCCCTAAACTAAATGTGAGTAAATCCATTAAAAGTTTAGAAGGCAAAGAGCCTTTGAGAACACTGTTGAGATGAAGTTCAAGGCACAAGAGAAAAAAAAAGTCTTTATTTAGAGTCAAAGATAATGGCATGTCCTTCATATAACCTCAGTAGTTTGTTAGTATTTTCCCCTTTTTGAAGGGGAATTTCCTTTGATTATTTTGTAATTTTCCATATTTTTTACATATAAATAAAATACTTTATTTCCATAGCATGCATGTTTTTATTTGTTAAAATATAAAGGTTAACTGGCTGAAAAAGTTACAAGAATATAGGAGTAAATGAAGATTATTTGGAAGAATCTGTTTTGTCAGCATTAACTATATATTTCTGTATGTTCTTTTTTTATTTAATTACTTTTCAAGTACAGTTTCCTGTCTTTTACTCCCATCCCAGCCACCACTTCTATTCAATATAGTATTGGACATTTTAGCCACAATAATCAGACAAGAAAAGGAAATAAAAGGCATCCAAATTGGAAAGGAAGAAACAAAACTGTCATTGTTTGCAGATGACATGATAGTGTACATGGAAAATTCTATAGACTCTACCCAAAAACTGCTCGAACTCATAAATGAATTTGGCAAAACAGTGGGTTACAAGTCAATATCCAGAAATCAAAGGCATTTTTGTATACTAAAAATAAATCAGCAGAAGCAGAAATCAAGAAAAAGATCCCATTCAATACAGCAAAAAGAAAAATAAAATATCTGGGAATAAACCTAACCAAAGAGGTAAAAGACCTGTATGCAGAAAACTACACAACACTGAAGAAAGAAATCAAGGAAGACACAAACAAATGGAAACATATACCGTGTTCATGGATAGGTAGAATTAACATCATCAAAATGTCCATACTACCCAAAGCAATTTACAAATGCAATGCAATACCTATTAAAATACCAATGGCATATTTCACAGACATAGAACAAACACTTCAAAAATTTTTCTTTTTTAATAATGGAATCATACCACATATAAAATTTAATAGCTTCTATTTTTTTCTGCAGCATTATAAGTACTTTCCCATACCAGTTAGCATTTTTAGAAAACTAGTGACTACAATATATATACCATACTTTAATTTTCCAATCATTGAACATTTCATCTGTCTCTTTTCAGTATAATAAAAACCAATTGTGAGGTGAGCATTTATATATTCTGATCTTTTCCTGCATCTGCTTATTTTCACAACAGAAATTGTTAAAATTGGAATTTCTGAGTCGTTTGAACACATAGAAACATTTAAAAATCTCTTGATAAGTGTTGTCATACAGTATTTTAGAAAGTTTATACCATATTACACAAATATTTGTTTTTGTTTATTTATTGAAATTCCAAGCTCACAGAGGACCTTCTGGCCATTCTGTGATTTGTAATTGGATGGGTTTCTATTAATGCTCACAATATCTTATATATATATGCCTACATCACAGCATTTATCAATATGTAGTATTTTTACCCACACTTCTCCAAGTAAATACTGAAGTAGGAAGCAGAACTTGTCTTCTTTGTAGCCCTAGTACTGAGAATAGTAACACCTAAGAGATAGTCCACTACTGAGAACATGATACCTAACAGTCATCAAGGCACTCTCCAAAGCAGTCCTTGTCTCACTCTCAGTTTCCCTTCAGTGGGCCAGAATAAAATTTTGCACACCTAACAGGGAGAAACTGCAAACAGTTAGAGAGCTGTACTAATCTAAATCAAGCCTTGACAACTCTTCAGCATATTATTTTTCCATCCAGTTGGAAAATTTACAGTTGATAATATCAGCAATGTGACTTCTTGATAGTACTGGTTTATTCCAAAGCACTCCAGAGCCTGAGAAATGATCATTACAAACCTCACAGAAACTTCCTCCTGTTGCTTAGTTATTATCCTTCTGCATTTCCTGGGGACTTTACCTTTGCACAGTATGTGATACTAAGTTTTAATGAATGTTGAACAGTTACTGTATGATAAATGCCAAGAAAAACAATGAGTGACATAAAGAAAGAAGTGAAGATCTCTATCTTCTACCTTAATCCCAGCTCCATTTTTCACCTTTTATCAGCAGCCCCAGGGATTGAGGTTTTCTGTTTGAAAATGAGTTCAGTTCTATGACATCTGAATAGCTATTCTTGCTACAGTCCTGGGCAGAGAAACAGGTCAGAGCAGGCACCTCTTGAGTCCTGAGGATGCAAAGTCCTCTCTGCTTGGTATAAACACCCTCTGTTCCTAACAGGATGCCTGTAATGTCCAGTTGGCTGTCCCTTGGGAATAAGTCCTTAAAATCCCATTTTGTCTTATAAGAGTGGTATTTGGAATACTTACACATTAAAATATTACTAGTTCTCTAATAGCATAGTACCAGTTAGTATATCTAATTAACCAGAAAGATCACCTCTCAAGGCACTAAAAGAATGGTAGAACACAGGATAGCATCTTCACTCATAAAACTGAGGGGCTACAGAAAAAGGAGCAATGAGAGAGAACAAGACCTGCTCCAAGAGGGTGGTGGTCCAGCCATGGGCCACCATGGAAATCCTGGGGCACACAGGGAAAATGCAGGACACCAAATGTAAAGGGAATCAGGTGAAAAACAGTAAAATCAGCCCTGGCCAGTGTAGCTCAGTAGGTTGGAGTGTAATTGCATGAACTGGAAGGGTTTGGGGTTTAA